CCGTTGGCTTTTTGAAAGTACAGCCACTGATTGGTCAGCAGACAATTACGCCACACGGCATGATTTGCATAAGACTATGGCTTGGGAATCACAGATTTGCATAACGTTACGGCTGGTGATGGCTAATTGGTCGGCCGGAAATCACGCCACATGACATTTGCATAGTGCTACGGTTCAGTAAGCACTAATTGGTCATCGAGTCCGATGTTGACGCTATAAACAGGCGACAGTTCGACACACCGGATATAGGTCACTCTCGTCTAAGTTCGACTTGGGAATGTTTTTGTTCAATAATAAATGTGAATTCTTCTTCCTGGAAAAAATAAGACCTAGCGCATTTTTCGGAGCAAAAATTAATATAAGACACTGTCTTATTTTCGGGGAAACACGGTATGACACAGTATGAAATATGCAAATATTGCACTTGTGTTAATGTAATATTTTACATTTAAAATTTACAAGAATGATCAGATTATCTATTTATTCTATATTTGATTATTTTAATATAGATTTCAATTAACTACATATGTGTTTTCAAAAATCCAAAAATGTCCAGATTAGCAAAAATTTTCTGCACTAAATATTTCATTAATCAGCTCACGTCGTCAGTGTATAACACCTTGACATTGTGGACTGATTATCATCATCCTGATCTGGGCTGTGCGGTAGATTTTCTTAGTATGATACAAGTCTTCGAAATTCCGCTTATGCCGCCCCCATACGATGTCGCCTGATGTGGCCGCATCTCTGCACGGTCCTGATCCTGATAGCTTCAATAGATGGCATGAGAGTAAGGTGTAAATGTGCTGTCCTGATCCACTCGTAGTTTACGGGGTGGTTCGTCCTGATTCGTAGGGCCCTCCAGTGTTTTCATTACTTATTCTGTGACGAAACTTAATTTAGTCTTTTAAATTGAGATATCTAAATAAGGGGGCAGTGAAATTTTCCTCCGCCCCGGGCGGCTGACACCCACGCTACGCCACTGGGCCCACCTCCTTCACCAGGTCGCCCATTGTGGATTTGCTAAAAAGTCTTAGTGCCCAGCGCGGAAAGTTTAAAAAAAAGTATACTTAAGATTATTTATACTGTATACTCTAAACTGTATAAGATTAATACGTGTTATGATTGGATGCCAGAATACAATTATAGCACGTATCTAGCACCAATGACATCAGTTTTTTTATTACACGCAGCGAACTCCACACGATAGGGCATCTGCAGAAAATTTTCCGAGGAAGCAAACATGGGAGACAAATAATTACATCAAAACTTTACTTATTACATTTTGGGAGTTTTTTTACAAGTATACTGAAGAATACAGTATTGCATAAATAAAAAAAAATTCATCCCATGGTCGAAGATGAAAGTTACATGTCTCACTGTTACGATAATCTGTAGTGTTTATTCGATCCCACAGGAGGGAAAAATGCCCCGTTTGTTCCCCTCGTGGACGCGCATGCTGGAATAAACAAGCGCCAGTTTTTTTTTTCACTTTTCGTCCTGTGGGCATTAAGAGGGCCTTTTTACCATGTCTGTTATGGGTTCGGTCAAGCCCATAACGGGACGGTCGGGTGGTGAGGGATGGGTCCTGACATATCCGAGACGGATCACCACCGAAAAATTTCTCAAACAAATACTCATAGTAATATTACATTTGTTAACAAAAATACGGGGTGATCATAATTAGATAATAATTATAGTAGTTAAGAGTTAAATAGTAAAATAGTGAGGTGTTTGAGGGATAAGGAAAAAGAACTGATATCTAAATAATATATCGCTAATTTAATATTTTATTGAAGTATGAATAAAGCATAGCTTAAAATTTTGCGCCCTTCATGGCTTGCACCGTAGGCTGTTACTTAGTTTGCCTGAATGGTAGCACTGGTCCAGATCCTGAGTAGTGTTTCAATTTTCAAGAAAAAGTAAAGCTTACACGTTTTGAACACCATATAGTGTAAATACACGAAAACTAGGCAATCTTCATTTTAAATTTATTCAATTTTTAGTTGGGACGGAACGTAAAGCTTACACGTTTAAGTCGCTAACTAGTTGCAGGTGTAAGAACAGTTGTTTCTATTAATTTTATTATCTACTTTATTATTCACTAGGAGTGAGACTAGGATAGTACGATTATTATAGTGAAGTAAAACTTGCATAAATTCTAGCATCATGGGACTGATAGAAAAGGAATGTTAAATTGAAAGTTCATTATAATGTCGTGGATTTCTATGGAGATTGGGCCGGGAAAATCTAACGTTCATTATTACGAGGTTCATTGTAACGAATTCTACTGTATACAGAGAGTTAGTCAGTTAATTCTGAAGTTTTCCATACTGTTTTGCTACCACCGGCTGTGTTTTGTGTGCTTCCATCAAGCCAGAACTATTGATCTGCAGCAAAGTTTCTACTGCAGAGATTCAAGGGGAATTTCATTCCACTTCTCTCCTAGTATACTTTCTACGGTCTTAAAGCACTTTTCTAATAGACTCCTTTTTACATGCAAAGCCGCAAAAATTCATATGTAAGGTCAGTCTGGTGATTTGACATAGACAATAAAGGTATCACCTGATACCAGTCATAACTGCTTTCTTGGTGTAGTAGGCTACTGAAGACTTCGCAATATGATTGAATATTTTCCCTTACGGATGCACATGTTTAACACCTGTCTTGTAAAAATATGAAATTTTCTAATCCAATATGGGTCCATAATCTTAATCTGAAAGAAGGCTGCATTGAACTTTGCTATGTTCAGTTTGCCACAGTACAAATTGTACCGTAGCCAGCTTTTCCTGCGCTTTGTGCAAAATTTTCATTATAGTTTTGGTTTCCCTTTTAAACAAAACAGATACGATAAAACTGTCAGCCAGTTTTTAACAGATGTTAAAAACTGGCAGGTCTCTGGAACGTACTGAATCTTTAAAATTTTTAAATGAAAATATAATACTGATCATTTTTGATATCCCGTTTCAAGTCTCCCTTTCGTCCTGGGCCCTGTGCCTGTGTATCCATTGCATCCGCCTATCAATGCACTGGGCACAGTACCAGGCTGTTATCACATTACACAGTAAATTCTACAAGAAAAATAAAGCTGTCAAAGATCAACGAGTCTTAGGAACAGTAATTCATTTTCAATAATGATCACTTCAAACATATTCAGATTTTTACTCTCTCCACCCTGTGGGTATTATTGGGTCTCTCAAGTCTATCATAGGTTCGGTCGAGTGGTGAGGGACCGGAGCCCGACATATTCTGGTGAGACAATTACCCACATAATTCCTAGAGTTCGTCCGTTCTTCTGGAGGATCGGCTTTGGAAATTTTCAAGAGTCGACTGAGACGGGGTCCGACATAAATGGGTCACTACCCATATCTATTATCCTGATGGACATTTCAAAGATGACCTCATTGCCCACAGGACGAAGTTAAAATTTCATTGCAATGTGAAAATTTCCCGATTTAGCAGTCAATTTTCATGTTTTCAATCTTATCTTTTATATACTTTGTTCCAGATTTAATTTTTACATGTATAAAACTTATTACTCTTAGTTAAGAAGGCAGTTATTTCAAAATCACAAAATGTATGTAAAGACAATTAGACCTTAACATAATTAGAGTGCTTATAATAGCCTTATTGCCAAAGGAATACATTCCACAAAAAATTAATTTACATCCCTGAATATAAAATTAGTAAGCTCGAAAGCACAGGAACTGTAAAGAAAGATTTCATTCCAACAAAACGCATTTACATATAATTTTGAACCAATTTACGTATTTAAAGGTGACTAAATATCCTGGCTAACTGACTTTTGGTGTCATCTTAGCCATCTATTAATAAGATTTTTTGACAGCCGAAGCTGTTTAGGCGTTAGCAAACCGCTCTGAAAACCTGGATGAGAACCCTCCTGAAACTTTTCAGTGCACGGTGTTATATACGAAAACACGGGGGAACTCCATGTGGCCAGTCCCTTGGTGAAGCTTGAACTCGACCAACTGCAACTAAACATTGGTAGTTGGTCGCGAGTTTAGTGAATTCAACATTTAAAATGTTTGTGCTAATATACGTTATCACTTACAACAGAGACTTTATGATTAAATTCTAAATTTAAAACCGATTTCATGAGGAGTTTTATTTTATGGACAGGGTACTAAATTCACATGTTACAACACATACAAAAAATTTACATGTTTTACACGTTGACCGTATAATTCGACTTAAAAATTGATCGACGACCGAATTTTCGGGGTTCAATTTTTCTTCTATTTTCTTAAATCACATCTTTGTAATTCGATAAAGTAAACAAATAAAATTAATTTACAGTATATTGAAATAGTTTCAATATCCTAAACTGTACATAAAAAATCCTATGTATAATAATGGGTAAAATGTGTTGTGTGTGGATCGTTGTCTCTTGGAGAAGTCAATGCTGCCTCGGGAGATCCGGCCAGGATGCTTTTGGCTCTCTGCTAGAGGAGCAGTTTTTCACAATAAGAACCAAAATAAAATTTTATGGTAAGTAATTTAGAAAGGATTTAACAAATGGAAGTAAGATTAAGGCCACTTGGGACAAAATTCCACAAATAAGTAGGGCATTCAAAGATCACAATTAAAACAAACAACTGAACAAACTTCTTAAAAGCAGCCTTAACACTTTCCACAATTGTCTTAAAACTGTGTTGACCAGCAGTATTATTACATTGATAATTAATGGAATTCACAGTGTGATTGCGAATGATGAGAACGCAAATGAAGTGGCGATGATGGACGAGGGATGACACAATGAATGTCGCTTAGTAGTCGGTAATATCAAAGTCTCGCTAGGAAAAACCTCATGTCTTTTGCATGATATTCCAGTTTTTTTGGATAAACACCGCACTTTTGACACAGTATATACAACCACAAAACGTAACCACCCACAGTTTGGAATAAAGTCAAGAACCTCTTGTGCCAAGTTTGATTCTAGCAAAATGGCGAAGCGGTTGGATCTTTAGTTTTAAATACTTCCTTTAGCGAAGGTGTGTGTTCAGGAGCCAAGACCGGTTCATTAACAGGCTCATTAACAAGAAAGGAAAGTGAAGATTGACTGTGACCAGAAGACTCTTGAGAAATGAGCTCACTTGCAGTCGAAGTATTCGTTACAGGTTGTGGAATGTTGGGTTGCACCTTAGTGGTCTGATTTTGAGATGCCTGAGGTCTGCGATTGTAGCTATTGTAGCTTGCATTATTACTTGAATTGTCCTCATAAGAACTTAATGGTGAAGCATAATTCATGTTACTCTTCCTGTTAATAGTAATAGTTTTCTTTTTCTCAGTACTCTCTTTCTTTTCTGCATCATCTTCAGATGCAGACTGTTCTTTGGAACTATTATTTGTTGAAGGTGACGATGTATCTTTAGCTGTTGAATCCTGTTTCGATTTCAAAGGTACAGCTGCAGGTGAAGTAGATGTAACACCAGATTTTTTCTGTGATGTTGCACTGTTGTTATTTGAGTCGGATTGATTTTGATCAGAAGAACGATGCCATCTCTGATCCACAGGTGGATGCAATAATCTTGTTAGACGTGGATCACTAACAGATTTGGGAAGATGAGATGTTACTGTAGTAGTAGAAGGTGTATGATTGATAGATGCAGATGTCCAAACAGATTCTGGTGGCATATTTTGTGAAGATGGCATATTTTCAGGTTGCCTTGGTCTGATAGAAAGATTTGATGATTTTAAAATTCTTGGATCCGTAATTCTCGGTTTCGAAGATTCCCAGTGCTCCATATTAGCAGGATTTCCAATGTCATTTGCACTCATGACTGGCTTTACTGGCCCATCTGAAATGTTCTTTTTGCTTTGTTCGGAACCAACTGGGCCAACATTGTCAGTTATGTGTTGCTGCTGACGAAGTAAACCAGACATTTGTTTGAAGTACTTTTTTAAACGTGGATCATTCAATAATTTTGGATCTGACTGACACTGAAACACATACGAACTATAATTTGGTTGTGATGGGGTTATTGAATGTAACTTATATTGTAAGTTGTTAACTACACTTTTCGTATTTTCAATTATCACGTCATTTGGTTTGTTGACCACTGGACGCATTTCCCACGGTGGTGGAGGTGGCTTCTCCGGTAAGTTACGAGGCGTAATGGGATTGCTGTTCATAACCGGAGGAGTTACACGAGGATCTCTTGAAGCTAGTCTAGGATCTCGATTCTGCAGTCTCGGATCTCTGAACGGTGGAGATTTATTCGTAATATCGGGCATATTCATCATCGGTGGTTTGCCTGGATTTGGTCGAATTCGTGGATCTCTGCTTCCTGGTTTATTACAGTTGGGAGCATTTTCAGGTGGTATTGTACCTAACAAATTCTGCCAAAAGTCATTTTGTTGATTGGAGATATTATTTCCATTGATTTCTATATTTTGAGATGCTTGTTGTCTTATTTCACTCAACATCTTAGTAATATCAATAGTAGAGTTTGAAGAAAATGACTGTCCCAAGTTCTGATGTGATCTGTTTGGAGGAGGCTGAAAAAACAAAGAAGAATGAATTATAATAATAATAATTTTAATTATAAATATATCACTAAAATCAAATCATACCATCTCTCGTAATTTTTTCAATACTGCTGTCAGAGGCTGATCTTCTGTATCGTCCTCATCACTACTATACCAATTTTCTTTTTTCTCGTCATCTTCGGCTTTTCCTTCTGGATCTTCAGAAACATCGCCACCATCCGTACCACTATCTCCACTTGCAGCTTCCTTTTGATGCTGCTGAATCCTTAAGTACAGTTCTCGTTGTCTTCTAGGAAGATGAGTAGGAATTACAACAGTAGGGGGAGGAAGATTTGTTTCAGATGGTGGAGAATTTGCAGACTGCTGCATGAACAATTGGTTATCCTGATTGGAATTGCCAGCATCACTAGACTCACTGTTTCCAAGTTTCATGGAACTTTCTTCATTGGAATTATCGTTGGTATTTTTTACACTATTTTGATCTTTCAGATCTTTCTGGTTTTCAAAATTTTTAATGCTTGAATTAAGTGCCAAACTTTCTTTAGCTGCTATAAGAATAAAATGTAATTTTAAGTTCTCTGCACACCTACATTATTTTATTAACAACAGACAAACTTCATAAATGGTTTACCTTGTATTGGCTTCTCATCATTCAGAGGTTCAATTTCTTTATTACTTAGTTTATTGCTTTCCCATTCTTCTTGGCTACTACTTTCTCCTTCATGTATTGATGAGAACATACCTGGTGGATCCAGATGAGGCGGCAAATGAGCATTTAAACCAATAGGCATGGCTATCGGAGGTAATGACATCAAGGATGGAATTTTATTGGGTGATCTTGGAAGAGTATCCATATAGAAGTTTGGTCTGAAATAGAGAAATAACTTATTTATATCTTACAATTGAAATCATTATTAAAATACTATTAAAACAAAATTTCTAGAGTAATTAAACTATGAGCATACAAAATCCAAGTATACCCAGACAATACTGCTCTTGATAACAAATTATTTACCCAGGATACTTTATTGTAAAGCTTTCAATAAGTATGTTTTAGTTTTTTAATTCCTTTCCCTTATAAAATGAGTCTGATTGGTGTTTCTTTTTAACTCTCTTGGGCACTAATTTTTACCCTATGGGCACTAAGAGACAACCTCTTGTTTTTTTGTAAGATCATTATGTGTTTTGCTGTATCCACAATGGGGAAGAATGACCATCCCAAAAACTTCTGGACTTTTTCAACTTATCCAGGGATCCCAGAATTGAATTCTGATTCAATTCTGGGCCCACCAGAGTGATAGTGTGCCACCTTTACTGCTCAGCCATCCAGCGCTCAGTGCAACTATTAAAGCAAATGCCAAAACCTCATTTCTTGTGTTAGCTTAAAGAAATGTAGTGGCTGAAGCTTTCTGTAACATAATATATAATTAACAGTGCTGATTTTATTGTAATAATTAAAAAATCATCCTGAAATTTGCTCCCAGATCTGTTCCAATATCTGTCTGTAGTCTCTTTTGACTTCCTTTTTTCTTTACATATGTCTTTAATTCAAATTTTTCTTCATTAAAAAAAATTAAAATATGTGAGAGAAAAACAATACATTATCAACTTTAAGAGCAAGAATGCAATAAGCAAACATGATAATGCCATAAAAATCATCAGAATCATNAAAAAACTGCTAATATTACAAAAAAATATTTAAACATAAAAAGTTTTGACCCATCAAACAAACTATAAACAGAATTGAATACTTTTGTTTTAAAAATGCAAAATATTAAATAGAATTTACAGAATGGAATATTGAATCATAACATTCAAAATGCAATGGCTAGATGGGCAAACTGCTAAGGTGACAGCGTATTGCTCTAGTGGACCTGGATCAAATGCGGATGGGTTGAAAAACCTGAGGAATTTTTCAGGGGTGGTCCACCCGGATACATCAAATCCTCTCTTTTCCACTTGTCCACTTGATTGTGAGCCTGACCTAATCCATAAAGAGCTTGCTAAAAAAGTCTTACTTCCCAAAGGGTGAAAGGGATTAAAATAAGAACCACTGCTTTAATATTAAACAGTTTCTTTGAGTTAGTTTTTGATGGCATGCCAAGCCTCATACTTCATAAAATGTGATCTTATATACATGAATGAAAATTGATGTTAAAGATCATCTGCTTTGTTTTATATACTGTGTAAAAATACTTCACACTTTTTATTCGTATATTTTTAAATAAAAAGTTAAAAACTAGTAGAATCACTCTTAAAACAGCAATTTGTTTTTATCCAAAAAAAAAATATTGTTTAGAAGTTACTTTGTAATATTAAAAAGTGAAACAGAGAGTAAGTAATGAAAAAAGTTAGCAAAAATTTTGTTTTATAATTCAGTATTTATATCTAGATAAAATTGGAGTTAATCAATCATTTAAGTTTACAAAACCAAACTTCTAATTTCAAGATACCAAAATTATTATTTATTCAGGTTTAGGCCATTCTGTGATCACACAAATGAATAAATGATTCTAAATTACAACATAGTACCGAATTGCGCGCACACTTATTTACATAATTATCATTTAAATTATTAAGAGATTTACAATATCTAAATACAAAGTGCTGGAAATATTTTTCTTGCTAAATTATGGAGAGAAAACAGTTTTAGTACTGTATTACAATTTCAATTTTATCATGAAATTTCAAATCAAACTTCCAACGAAGTTAAGAAAGATCTTGTGTGTGATGTTGATCAACTTTGATCTCATCAACGAACATAATTGAAGTCTTAAGATTTGGGTTAAGGATTTCGGCATCCCCTATTAAATTTATTCTTACACATTTAAATATATGATTAAATTTTGTATTATTCGATATATGGGATAGTCTAGTATGCTATTTCGTAAGTTCTTAAAATATTGAAAATTTTAAATTATAATGGTTCCGTTTTAACTATATTAAATGTATGTAGTTAGTTCATTTTAAGTTTTTTTAGCAATTTCAGCCAACTTTCTTTACTTTTAATATAAAGGTAACTTTTTCTTAAATTTTCGTTAAATATATCGGTATTTACAGTATAATTCGTGATTTATTGTAAAAGCTTGGAACTATTCTCTATAGTTAAACATACTAAGTACACAGAAAAGATAGATCGCGTGTATGGAATTATTTCTAAAAAATGTGTGTCGATCTTCTGCAAAGTGTAATATTTATAAAAAATCAATTTAATGTTGCATTAACACCTCTAATTTAATAGACCATTTAAGACGTAAACATGGTTCCGTACTCTTAACCACACGGCCATAAAATTTAGAAGTAAATACTGATATACAGTGTACCGTGTTTCCCCGAAAATAAGACATCCGCAGAAAATAAGACCTAGCACAGATTTTGCTGAATTGCGAAATATAAGACCTCCCCCTGAAAGTAAGACCTAGCGAAGTTTTTTTTAGTCATAACGGTCATCGACAGATGGTTGAAAGTGGCCGTTGGCTTTTTGAAAGTACAGCCACTGATTGGTCAGCAGACAATTACGCCACACGGCATGATTTGCATAAGACTATGGCTTGGGAATCACAGATTTGCATAACGTTACGGCTGGTGATGGCTAATTGGTCGGCCGGAAATCACGCCACATGACATTTGCATAGTGCTACGGTTCAGTAAGCACTAATTGGTCATCGAGTCCGATGTTGACGCTATAAACAGGCGACAGTTCGACACACCGGATATAGGTCACTCTCGTCTAAGTTCGACTTGGGAATGTTTTTGTTCAATAATAAATGTGAATTCTTCTTCCTGGAAAAAATAAGACCTAGCGCATTTTTCGGAGCAAAAATTAATATAAGACACTGTCTTATTTTCGGGGAAACACGGTATGACACAGTATGAAATATGCAAATATTGCACTTGTGTTAATGTAATATTTTACATTTAAAATTTACAAGAATGATCAGATTATCTATTTATTCTATATTTGATTATTTTAATATAGATTTCAATTAACTACATATGTGTTTTCAAAAATCCAAAAATGTCCAGATTAGCAAAAATTTTCTGCACTAAATATTTCATTAATCAGCTCACGTCGTCAGTGTATAACACCTTGACATTGTGGACTGATTATCATCATCCTGATCTGGGCTGTGCGGTAGATTTTCTTAGTATGATACAAGTCTTCGAAATTCCGCTTATGCCGCCCCCATACGATGTCGCCTGATGTGGCCGCATCTCTGCACGGTCCTGATCCTGATAGCTTCAATAGATGGCATGAGAGTAAGGTGTAAATGTGCTGTCCTGATCCACTCGTAGTTTACGGGGTGGTTCGTCCTGATTCGTAGGGCCCTCCAGTGTTTTCATTACTTATTCTGTGACGAAACTTAATTTAGTCTTTTAAATTGAGATATCTAAATAAGGGGGCAGTGAAATTTTCCTCCGCCCCGGGCGGCTGACACCCACGCTACGCCACTGGGCCCACCTCCTTCACCAGGTCGCCCATTGTGGATTTGCTAAAAAGTCTTAGTGCCCAGCGCGGAAAGTTTAAAAAAAAGTATACTTAAGATTATTTATACTGTATACTCTAAACTGTATAAGATTAATACGTGTTATGATTGGATGCCAGAATACAATTATAGCACGTATCTAGCACCAATGACATCAGTTTTTTTATTACACGCAGCGAACTCCACACGATAGGGCATCTGCAGAAAATTTTCCGAGGAAGCAAACATGGGAGACAAATAATTACATCAAAACTTTACTTATTACATTTTGGGAGTTTTTTTACAAGTATACTGAAGAATACAGTATTGCATAAATAAAAAAAAATTCATCCCATGGTCGAAGATGAAAGTTACATGTCTCACTGTTACGATAATCTGTAGTGTTTATTCGATCCCACAGGAGGGAAAAATGCCCCGTTTGTTCCCCTCGTGGACGCGCATGCTGGAATAAACAAGCGCCAGTTTTTTTTTTCACTTTTCGTCCTGTGGGCATTAAGAGGGCCTTTTTACCATGTCTGTTATGGGTTCGGTCAAGCCCATAACGGGACGGTCGGGTGGTGAGGGATGGGTCCTGACATATCCGAGACGGATCACCACCGAAAAATTTCTCAAACAAATACTCATAGTAATATTACATTTGTTAACAAAAATACGGGGTGATCATAATTAGATAATAATTATAGTAGTTAAGAGTTAAATAGTAAAATAGTGAGGTGTTTGAGGGATAAGGAAAAAGAACTGATATCTAAATAATATATCGCTAATTTAATATTTTATTGAAGTATGAATAAAGCATAGCTTAAAATTTTGCGCCCTTCATGGCTTGCACCGTAGGCTGTTACTTAGTTTGCCTGAATGGTAGCACTGGTCCAGATCCTGAGTAGTGTTTCAATTTTCAAGAAAAAGTAAAGCTTACACGTTTTGAACACCATATAGTGTAAATACACGAAAACTAGGCAATCTTCATTTTAAATTTATTCAATTTTTAGTTGGGACGGAACGTAAAGCTTACACGTTTAAGTCGCTAACTAGTTGCAGGTGTAAGAACAGTTGTTTCTATTAATTTTATTATCTACTTTATTATTCACTAGGAGTGAGACTAGGATAGTACGATTATTATAGTGAAGTAAAACTTGCATAAATTCTAGCATCATGGGACTGATAGAAAAGGAATGTTAAATTGAAAGTTCATTATAATGTCGTGGATTTCTATGGAGATTGGGCCGGGAAAATCTAACGTTCATTATTACGAGGTTCATTGTAACGAATTCTACTGTATACAGAGAGTTAGTCAGTTAATTCTGAAGTTTTCCATACTGTTTTGCTACCACCGGCTGTGTTTTGTGTGCTTCCATCAAGCCAGAACTATTGATCTGCAGCAAAGTTTCTACTGCAGAGATTCAAGGGGAATTTCATTCCACTTCTCTCCTAGTATACTTTCTACGGTCTTAAAGCACTTTTCTAATAGACTCCTTTTTACATGCAAAGCCGCAAAAATTCATATGTAAGGTCAGTCTGGTGATTTGACATAGACAATAAAGGTATCACCTGATACCAGTCATAACTGCTTTCTTGGTGTAGTAGGCTACTGAAGACTTCGCAATATGATTGAATATTTTCCCTTACGGATGCACATGTTTAACACCTGTCTTGTAAAAATATGAAATTTTCTAATCCAATATGGGTCCATAATCTTAATCTGAAAGAAGGCTGCATTGAACTTTGCTATGTTCAGTTTGCCACAGTACAAATTGTACCGTAGCCAGCTTTTCCTGCGCTTTGTGCAAAATTTTCATTATAGTTTTGGTTTCCCTTTTAAACAAAACAGATACGATAAAACTGTCAGCCAGTTTTTAACAGATGTTAAAAACTGGCAGGTCTCTGGAACGTACTGAATCTTTAAAATTTTTAAATGAAAATATAATACTGATCATTTTTGATATCCCGTTTCAAGTCTCCCTTTCGTCCTGGGCCCTGTGCCTGTGTATCCATTGCATCCGCCTATCAATGCACTGGGCACAGTACCAGGCTGTTATCACATTACACAGTAAATTCTACAAGAAAAATAAAGCTGTCAAAGATCAACGAGTCTTAGGAACAGTAATTCATTTTCAATAATGATCACTTCAAACATATTCAGATTTTTACTCTCTCCACCCTGTGGGTATTATTGGGTCTCTCAAGTCTATCATAGGTTCGGTCGAGTGGTGAGGGACCGGAGCCCGACATATTCTGGTGAGACAATTACCCACATAATTCCTAGAGTTCGTCCGTTCTTCTGGAGGATCGGCTTTGGAAATTTTCAAGAGTCGACTGAGACGGGGTCCGACATAAATGGGTCACTACCCATATCTATTATCCTGATGGACATTTCAAAGATGACCTCATTGCCCACAGGACGAAGTTAAAATTTCATTGCAATGTGAAAATTTCCCGATTTAGCAGTCAATTTTCATGTTTTCAATCTTATCTTTTATATACTTTGTTCCAGATTTAATTTTTACATGTATAAAACTTATTACTCTTAGTTAAGAAGGCAGTTATTTCAAAATCACAAAATGTATGTAAAGACAATTAGACCTTAACATAATCAGAGTGCTTATAATAGCCTTATTGCCAAAGGAATACATTCCACAAAAAATTAATTTACATCCCTGAATATAAAATTAGTAAGCTCGAAAGCACAGGAACTGTAAAGAAAGATTTCATTCCAACAAAACGCATTTACATATAATTTTGAACCAATTTACGTATTTAAAGGTGACTAAATATCCTGGCTAACTGACTTTTGGTGTCATCTTAGCCATCTATTAATGATTTTTTGACAGCCGAAGCTGTTTAGGCGTAGCAAACCGCTCTGAAAACCTGGATGAGAACCCTCCTGAAACTTTTCAGTGCACGGTGTTATATACGAAAACACGGGGGAACTCCATGTGGCCAGTCCCTTGGTGAAGCTTGAACTCGACCAACTGCAACTAAACATTGGTAGTTGGTCGCGAGTTTAGTGAATTCAACATTTAAAATGTCTGTGCTAATATACGTTATCACTTACAACAGAGACTTTATGATTAAATTCTAAATTTAAAACCGATTTCATGAGGAGTTTTATTTTATGGACAGGGTACTAAATTCACATGTTACAACACATACAAAAAATTTACATGTTTTACACGTTGACCGTATAATTCGACTTAAAAATTGATCGACGACCGAATTTTCGGGGTTCAATTTTTCTTCTATTTTCTTAAATCACATCTTTGTAATTCGATAAAGTAAACAAATAAAATTAATTTACAGTATATTGAAATAGTTTCAATATCCTAAACTGTACATAAAAAATCCTATGTATAATAATGGGTAAAATGTGTTGTGTGTGGATCGTTGTCTCTTGGAGAAGTCAATGCTGCCTCGGGAGATCCGGCCAGGATGCTTTTGGCTCTCTGCTAGAGGAGCAGTTTTTCACAATAAGAACCAAAATAAAATTTTATGGTAAGTAATTTAGAAAGGATTTAACAAATGGAAGTAAGATTAAGGCCACTTGGGACAAAATTCCACAAATAAGTAGGGCATTCAAAGATCACAATTAAAACAAACAACTGAACAAACTTCTTAAAAGCAGCCTTAACACTTTCCACAATTGTCTTAAAACTGTGTTGACCAGCAGTATTATTACATTGATAATTAATGGAATTCACAGTGTGATTGCGAATGATGAGAACGCAAATGAAGTGGCGATGATGGACGAGGGATGACACAATGAATGTCGCTTAGTAGTCGGTAATATCAAAGTCTCGCTAGGAAAAACCTCATGTCTTTTGCATGATATTCCAGTTTTTTTGGATAAACACCGCACTTTTGACACAGTATATACAACCACAAAACGTAACCACCCACAGTTTGGAATAAAGTCAAGAACCTCTTGTGCCAAGTTTGATTCTAGCAAAATGGCGAAGCGGTTGGATCTTTAGTTTTAAATACTTCCTTTAGCGAAGGTGTGTGTTCAGGAGCCAAGACCGGTTCATTAACAGGCTCATTAACAAGAAAGGAAAGTGAAGATTGACTGTGACCAGAAGACTCTTGAGAAATGAGCTCACTTGCAGTCGAAGTATTCGTTACAGGTTGTGGAATGTTGGGTTGCACCTTAGTGGTCTGATTTTGAGATGCCTGAGGTCTGCGATTGTAGCTATTGTAGCTTGCATTATTACTTGAATTGTCCTCATAAGAACTTAATGGTGAAGCATAATTCATGTTACTCTTCCTGTTAATAGTAATAGTTTTCTTTTTCTCAGTACTCTCTTTCTTTTCTGCATCATCTTCAGATGCAGACTGTTCTTTGGAACTATTATTTGTTGAAGGTGACGATGTATCTTTAGCTGTTGAATCCTGTTTCGATTTCAAAGGTACAGCTGCAGGTGAAGTAGATGTAACACCAGATTTTTTCTGTGATGTTGCACTGTTGTTATTTGAGTCGGATTGATTTTGATCAGAAGAACGATGCCATCTCTGATCCACAGGTGGATGCAATAATCTTGTTAGACGTGGATCACTAACAGATTTGGGAAGATGAGATGTTACTGTAGTAGTAGAAGGTGTATGATTGATAGATGCAGATGTCCAAACAGATTCTGGTGGCATATTTTGTGAAGATGGCATATTTTCAGGTTGCCTTGGTCTGATAGAAAGATTTGATGATTTTAAAATTCTTGGATCCGTAATTCTCGGTTTCGAAGATTCCCAGTGCTCCATATTAGCAGGATTTCCAATGTCATTTGCACTCATGACTGGCTTTACTGGCCCATCTGAAATGTTCTTTTTGCTTTGTTCGGAACCAACTGGGCCAACATTGTCAGTTATGTGTTGCTGCTGACGAAGTAAACCAGACATTTGTTTGAAGTACTTTTTTAAACGTGGATCATTCAATAATTTTGGATCTGACTGACACTGAAACACATACGAACTATAATTTGGTTGTGATGGGGTTATTGAATGTAACTTATATTGTAAGTTGTTAACTACACTTTTCGTATTTTCAATTATCACGTCATTTGGTTTGTTGACCACTGGACGCATTTCCCACGGTGGTGGAGGTGGCTTCTCCGGTAAGTTACGAGGCGTAATGGGATTGCTGTTCATAACCGGAGGAGTTACACGAGGATCTCTTGAAGCTAGTCTAGGATCTCGATTCTGCAGTCTCGGATCTCTGAACGGTGGAGATTTATTCGTAATATCGGGCATATTCATCATCGGTGGTTTGCCTGGATTTGGTCGAATTCGTGGATCTCTGCTTCCTGGTTTATTACAGTTGGGAGCATTTTCAGGTGGTATTGTACCTAACAAATTCTGCCAAAAGTCATTTTGTTGATTGGAGATATTATTTCCATTGATTTCTATATTTTGAGATGCTTGTTGTCTTATTTCACTCAACATCTTAGTAATATCAATAGTAGAGTTTGAAGAAAATGACTGTCCCAAGTTCTGATGTGATCTGTTTGGAGGAGGCTGAAAAAACAAAGAAGAATGAATTATAATAATAATAATTTTAATTATAAATATATCACTAAAATCAAATCATACCATCTCTCGTAATTTTTTCAATACTGCTGTCAGAGGCTGATCTTCTGTATCGTCCTCATCACTACTATACCAATTTTCTTTTTTCTCGTCATCTTCGGCTTTTCCTTCTGGATCTTCAGAAACATCGCCACCATCCGTACCACTATCTCCACTTGCAGCTTCCTTTTGATGCTGCTGAATCCTTAAGTACAGTTCTCGTTGTCTTCTAGGAAGATGAGTAGGAATTACAACAGTAGGGGGAGGAAGATTTGTTTCAGATGGTGGAGAATTTGCAGACTGCTGCATGAACAATTGGTTATCCTGATTGGAATTGCCAGCATCACTAGACTCACTGTTTCCAAGTTTCATGGAACTTTCTTCATTGGAATTATCGTTGGTATTTTTTACACTATTTTGATCTTTCAGATCTTTCTGGTTTTCAAAATTTTTAATGCTTGAATTAAGTGCCAAACTTTCTTTAGCTGCTATAAGAATAAAATGTAATTTTAAGTTCTCTGCACACCTACATTATTTTATTAACAACAGACAAACTTCATAAATGGTTTACCTTGTATTGGCTTCTCATCATTTAGAGGTTCCATTTCTTTATTACTTAGTTTATTGCTTTCCCATTCTTCTTGGCTACTACTTTCTCCTTCATGTATTGATGAGAACATACCTGGTGGATCCAGATGAGGCGGCAAATGAGCATTTAAACCAATAGGCATGGCTATCGGAGGTAATGACATCAAGGATGGAATTTTATTGGGTGATCTTGGAAGAGTATCCATATAGAAGTTTGGTCTGAAATAGAGAAATAACTTATTTATATCTTACAATTGAAATCATTATTAAAATACTATTAAAACAAAATTTCTAGAGTAATTAAACTATGAGCATACAAAATCCAAGTATACCCAGACAATACTGCTCTTGATAACAAATTATTTACCCAGGATACTTTATTGTAAAGCTTTCAATAAGTATGTTTTAGTTTTTTAATTCCTTTCCCTTATAAAATGAGTCTGATTGGTGTTTCTTTTTAACTCTCTTGGGCACTAATTTTTACCCTATGGGCACTAAGAGACAACCTCTTGTTTTTTTGTAAGATCATTATGTGTTTTGCTGTATCCACAATGGGGAAGAATGACCATCCCAAAAAACTTCTGGACTTTTTCAACTTATCCAGGGATCCCAGAATTGAATTCTGATTCAATTCTGGGCCCACCAGAGTGATAGTGTGCCACCTTTACTGCTCAGCCATCCAGCGCTCAGTGCAACTATTAAAGCAAATGCCAAAACCTCATTTCTTGTGTTAGCTTAAAGAAATGTAGTGGCTGAAGCTTTCTGTAACATAATATATAATTAACAGTGCTGATTTTATTGTAATAATTAAAAAATCATCCTGAAATTTGCTCCCAGATCTGTTCCAATATCTGTCTGTAGTCTCTTTTGACTTCCTTTTTTCTTTACATATGTCTTTAATTCAAATTTTTCTTCATTAAAAAAAATTAAAATATGTGAGAGAAAAACAATACATTATCAACTTTAAGAGCAAAAATGCAATAAGCAAACATGATAATGCCATAAAAATCATCACACTTAATAGAAACAACTTGCAACACCACTTTCTTTGACTACAAACTGAATAAATGATATTTCTGAAATTAAGTAAATCAAACAAAGAAAATTGGTTCTGCAAGCTGTCAGTCATAAATATATTTTTAAGAGTTAAATTTTTAACTTGACACTGTAATTTTACAAACAAATTTCATAAAAATTTAAGAATTGGTTGGATACTATCCATAGAAAAATTAACATTAACAATAAAATAATCAGAGCAAATAAATAGCACTAATAATGATAAGAACAAAATTAATTTTAATGTAAATTGGGACAATGTTTAGCTTCATCACCACCACCACTCATCCTGATTTCATTAAATATTCTAAAACTTATAAAAAGTTTAGATGAGATTTCATGCATAATAAAACACTAAGGTTCAGTACGGCACCTTCAAATTTTCTATTATTTCAAGAGTTTTTGTTTTTATAAAATAACATATTCATTTGACAATGAATGATTTTTTTAAATGTCACACCTTAAGATTAAAAAGTAATAAAATTGTTAATATTATTTTGTGATATCTGCACCTTTAAATATTTTAGATGTGTTTAGTTATTTATGGGCCTTCATTAATTAAAGACAGGAGGGGCCATTAAGTGCAAATTATTGTACACAATAGTGAGGGAAGAATTGAAGCTGTGTGTGTGTGTGTGTGTGTGGGGACTATTTTTAGTGGTATTGTTGCATGCAAATTAGTTCTTATGAGCATACTTACTAATCAGGTGAATAAACTATCAGAAAATATTTGCAGAACTTTTTAGTCATTTCTTCAATATGATAGATTCATGACACGTAAAGGTGGAGATTTACAAAAAGTACATCAGTGTACAAAATGAGATGTCAAAAGTGGCTTAAAAATTGTACCTGTAATTAACAGATGGTCCCTTATTTAATAGGTTTCTAGTTAGTACCCACTACCCAACAAAAATAGATAACATACACAGACTAGAAAAATGCATTCTTTTTGATAATAGCAGTGAAAACTCCTAGAAAATAATAAAACCATGTAAAATGGGATCAGTAGAATTGGTGATTTTCTTGCTATAGTACACAAAAGAATAAGTATGCACATAATAAATGACTTTTAGGAAATATACGAAATATTATCAATACTACGAGCACATATCATTCATGCCTATACTGATGGGACAACATAGCTGTGAAACTGATGACAAACCATAGTCAAATGAACAGGTAACATTTACAGTATATAACAGGGGTAGGCAAGCAAGAGTTCAGTGGGAGCTGAAATGTAGGTTTTGCAAAATGTGTGGGAGTCGCAGTTCTGTACTTTTTTATTCTGTATCACAGTTCTGTACCGTGATTTTATTATATAATATAAAACAAATATAGAATTTTTTTAATAAACATATTTTCACAAAATTGTGGAAATAAAATTGTAAAAATAATAATAAAAAGCAAAAATTAACACTTTCAGCAAGAACTGCACATAACTCAAAAAAAGCTGCATGTGGCTCTTGGAGCCATATTTGCCCATGTCTGGTATATAACATGATGCATTCTTGAGATAACATTGCTTCAAATATTCATTCCCTCAAAATTTTATCGTATAAAGTCTGTTATATGTTATAATGCAATAGAAAGTTTACAGGTATAAAAATCATTGTATCTGCCATAAATTCAAAAAGTAAATGATTAAAATTCTTACTTATTACTAAAATTATTGTGTATTCTGAAACATTATTACTAAGATTATTTGTGTATTTAGTTGTAATGATAGAAACAAAATACTAATAATATTGTTATGATACTCATCTTAAATGTCTATATAAAGCAATAATAATAATAATAAAAATCTGTCATACCGTGAAAACGAATGAGGAGGACTTAGAATGGGAGCATTACAAGGTACAGGATATCTCTTCTGCTGCATCTGAAGTACATGCTGCTGCCAACGCCATGTTTCCGCCGCCTCTTTAACATGACGGGGAGGAGAACCGAGTAGACTGGGCCTTTTTTGCTGTTTGGGAGGAGAGCCAATGTCTTCCGGACCACTACCGTCTTTTTTATTTTCTTCTGCTTTACTACTCTCTAAATACTAAAATATGAAATAATAATAATTTTTAAAAATAATACATAATTAGAGACATTCTTCAAAAGTTAATATGAAAGAAACATATACAGTAAAATCTGTCTATGGCGACCACCCACAGTTCCTTCAAAAAGTGGTCTTTTAGACAGGTGGTCGTCCAATACAGATGGTCCTGTAATAACATATTTCTGTATGTATTTTGTGCACTTTTTAGCCATTTCTACTAAAAAGCAAAACTCGAGGTGAGCAAAAATAAGCGAATTTTATTCAATGATAGGGCTATATTGGTATTGTATTTTATTCTTATCAGATAACCCGATTTACAGGAATCGTGATATTATAAGACAGATTTAATACCAATATTTTAAAGATTACAGTAATACAATACTCGCATTTTCTTGATTATAATGCATACTTTCTTTTTTCTGACTTAATTAATTTGACTTGGTTCTTTTCGTTCGCTCCTCAGTTATGTGTATTACGTCATCAATATACAAGCGCATCCTACCTCTCCATCACTTTGGTTTTGGTTAGTTTAATCTTATTTTAACTTTAAAAATACTGTATTTTTTTAATATTTAATATTTTCTTAAGTACAATAAGAAAAATTATTAATTAATAATAAAACTATTTTATTATTTTTTCTCATAATACAATTTCATTACATTCCTTCCTTTTTCAAAAAAGGAATCGAAAAAGAAAGGTTGCCTGTAAAACTGACTTTTGCATTAATGTGTTTATTGTTTTTTGAATATTTTGCATGCAAAAATTACTTGCATATTATTTTTCTAAAAATATCGTAGAAATAAGGTAGGTTGATACAGAAACTATTTATCGCAC